AGCAGAATCCAACAAGACGGAGACCAGTACGGAAGAAGATACGTCCCGTAAAATTAAGAGACTTTGTTGAATTGTAATTTTGTGTTTGTAATTCTGTACAGTTAATTAAGTTATTGTTAATTGTTATTGGTTTATTGTATGTGGTTATTGTTCGGGACGAACAATATTAAGGAGGGGGCAGTGTTGCGTCAGCGAGTCACATGACACTGTGACGCAATGTTTCTAGAATTATCATGTACTTTGGCGAATGGTCTAGTAATTACTAGAAATAGCGTACGCTGGTATATAAAAGAAGGGAATGTAATGTGTGAGTAGATAGATAGTGAGTAATTGAACTGCAGTCGGAAGTATTATTGACGTTCGTTGTTACAGTGTTGTTTTAGCGCGAGTATTGAGATTAAGTGTATCGCAGAGTTATATTCGGAAAGAATAAACCAGTTTGATTAAGTAAAGACTTGTGTCGTTAAAGTTTCGTTGGAACAAAGTTACGGAAAGTTATTTAACAAACGGAGACGTAACATGGGCTACAACTTTTGAAAGCCTGTTCAGCAATGGCTTTGTGTATCCATGAATCTGGTTCTATCTTTATATTTGAGTATATTCTCACAATATCTACTGTTGCGTCATCGAGATCATGTGATTCTCACGCTCTCTACTTTCTAGAATTATCCTGTATTTTGGCGAATGTTCTAGTTCTTACTAGATATAGGGTGGGCGGATATATATATATAGGAGGGGACAACGTGACGCTGGAAGGTGTGTATAGATAGTGAGTAACTGAACTGCAGTCGGAAGTATTGTTGACGTTCTTTGATTAGCGTTTGTTTTAACGCGATTGTTGAAGTTAAGTGTATCGGTAAAGTTATATTCGGAAAGAATAAATCAGTTTTATTAAGTAAAGAACTTGTGTCGCTTAAGTTTCGTCGGAACGAAGTTACGGAAAATCAATTAACAAACGGAGACGTAACACTACCAATTTTTCCCAAGTATGTTTTTTATATGAATATTAGATATCATGTGTTTGATGTTTATGATAAGAGATTTCAGAGTTCTGTAGATATTCCTGTGGACTTTTATGTTGAATGTTTTTAGCTATATGTTGTAACTTCTCACTCACCTTTGGAAAGTAATGGTGTTGAAGAGTCTACTTATTGCTGCTATCAGTAGTTGGGGTGTCCATTGTAAACTTAGTGATAAAATTAATTTAGTAACCACTGCATTCAAAAGTTTATATAGTGCATGTACTGGCATTCAGTGTCCAAAGCATAATTTTTGTAGATACTCTCAACTCTTTTGTGAAGGGCTTGTATGATTCCTTGTGTGACGGCAGAAAAGTAAATTATGGTATCTGTCCAGTATAGTGTGCTGTGTAGACTGCTATCTCAAGATGTTCAAAAAAGGTGTTCTCCATAAGGTCATTGCCATTCTCTTTGAAACTTTACATTCAAGTATAATCCAGGTTTGGATATATTTCCTTAAATAAACTGTCTTGATGCTTTAAGTATATGTATTTGATGCAAAATGTAAAAAGTTCAAAGATAATGTGATTTTTGTGCAAGTATGTAATTATAATCTGGTAGTCTGAAGAGTCCCTATAATCATAGTATTAGTGAAAAGGCCAACGACATTAAAGCTTTCCAGTAAGTCTGTGAAGTTCACATATATATTCTTGAAAGAGTGCATAAGGTCACTTCAGTTCTGTATGTAGTATATGATCACTCAAGTTGAGAGAATAAAAACCATAAATCCAATAAGTTAGTGGGAAAGTGAATTCTTAACACTGAATTTCTGGTGAACAAGAGCATTTGTTTTGTGTATTTTTAAGAGTCCATAGAGATGTGGTGGGCAGTAACCATAAGCATATAGTCTTCATAATATTTGATGGTCTAATCTGTTGATCCAACATTATGTTTTACAAATAAAAGTATCCATTCCCAGTGACGGAAAACGTTTATATATATATATATATCAATATATTTTACAGACTTTAAAAAAGTAATTGTGTTGCACTCTTGGTTTCACTCAGAGTCACAGCTCTGAGTTACTTATACCACCCACAGTGAAAAGTAATTGTTGAGCATTTCAGTCATGCTAAGAGTCACTCAAGAATGACATATGGTAAACCTACATTTTTGTCTTTTAAGTTACGTCACGTTTTGAAATGATAATGACAGTGTGATTAATTCCTAACAATTTAGTGTAGAATATCCTGCTTGTGAAATAAAATCTGGCATCCACATTATTCATGCCTGTTCTTCCATCATATTGTTGCGTCAGCGAGTCACATGACTACTAT